CCTGTGGGACCATGGTCCTTCCCCTGCCTGTTCTTCATGTTCTCCTCACAATCCACACTGGGAAAGTCAGTAACATTGGAATATTAATCTTTGCTGAAAGAACTCTTCAGTGACTCATATTCTTTTATTCACTGGGACCCATCTCCGAAGATGTTCCATCTGGAGGTTCTTTGTTTGGAAGGTCTGAAGTGCAAATCAGGCCAGGTTCTGCTTCTTCTCCCCCATCCAAGAGTGCTCACAAACATGTTTTTCTCCCTCTCTGTTCTGGATCCTGGGGGCACAGAATAGGTCCAGGAGCAGAGAGGAGGCTCCTGTCCCTTGGGATGATCCAAAACATGGTGATTTAATTTGATTGCAGCCAAAGCCCTGTAAACAACCCAAGAGTGTTTTTGAGAGTGATTAAAAAAACCTCAGAATGAACAGCCATGGCAGGCAAGCTCAGTGCATAATACACAGTGCATAATACACCTGTGGTTCTATCAAGGGCTCCGGATGAGGCAGGGAGAAAAAGAGTAGAGGCTTCTGGGAAGTTTCTCAAAGCCTTATTCGCTCAGGACTGAGTACAGCTGTTAGGGAGTGTCTTTCTTGAGAGCCAAAGGAAAGTTATGTGGCAAGATTGGCCTGGCTCACTGGATGAGCTGGTAATACAGCCATAGGAGCAGCCACCAGGGATCTCACGCAGACCAGGGGAGCTATGCTATTGCTGTTCCTGCTGCTTCTGCTGCTGCCTCACACAGCCTGTGAGAGAGGGGAGGTGGAGTGTCCCTGGAACCTGCTGGGTGAAGGAGCACTCCTGTATCACCGGCCAGGAGACTACCTGCTGAGTGGAGTCATTTCTTCCCAGTTTTTTCAGCAGCAGCAGCCTTACGTCTTTTTTGAGTCCCTGTTGAAAAGGGTTGAATGGTGAGTCCTGAGGATTCAATGCCTTCTGACCTGCACTGGAGTTTGCCACATCTTCCAGGATGACCATATTTCTTCTCCCTCTATCATCCCTAGGGATTCCAAGTCTGGGGTTTATCTCTTGTCTTCTCCAAAGGAAAATTGAGAGTTCTGTGAACACAAGGGCAGCATCCAAGACCACTTGCATTCCTATGCATGGTTATTGTTTGCATGGTTTCAGCCTGAAGGAGAAACGGCTTCTTGCTTTAACCCTTATGAGAAGACCCAGGCTGGAATCATGGTGGCATATCCTCAGGATTGGCTTCACCCTTGCAGCCATGGCAAAGCTTTCCTCTCCATTCCCAGTCTTCTTCCTTTTAGGAGCCCTCAAGCCATTTCTGGCTTACAGATACCTGCCCATTCTACTGTAGCAAATGTGGATGGATGAATTTGACTTCAGCTATTCTAAAGTAGGTAGAATCAATCCATTGTGGAACATTTGGGGAGAATTTGTGAAGGGGGGATGCTCAGGCAGAGTTCCTTGGTGTGAGAACCGAGGTCTTGGTTTCTAGCATTACCCCCCAATATTTAGGTGAGGGAGAGGGGTGTTTAGCCTTTGCAGTCCTTGCTTGACAAACTGTATGGGAAGAGATAAAGTAATTGGATTGGCCACAGTCTTGTACTATGGATGCAAGGACAAATGCTGTATCCAGGGACTGAAAAGAATGAAAACTTCAACCTTTTTCCTTGGTGAAAGGCAGCTCTGTCCTCTACCATTGCCTGCATGATTCTTTTGAGAGGATCTCTTGAAACAAGTGCTTCATTTTCTCCATCCAAATATCCCACCAATCAACATCACACAATGATCCTGATTTCTGTACTGATGAGAGAGAGAGGTTCTTCTCCATTCCTCCATCAAGGTCATGAGTCGCATGCTTGTGCCATATCTCCCCTTGCTTACATTTTTTTCAGTGCTAAGCCATACCAAATATTGCAACATCATATCATAGCAGAGCTGCTCCTTCCC